CACAGTAAAATTGCCCATTCAACCTCATTGGGTTTTTGTGAGGATTAAATGATATCATAGATGTGACAAAGTGTTATAAACTGAAAGTATAGTACAAATGAGAGATTAATATTCAGAGAAAACTTCACCTGTGAGGCTTTCAGTTATTGAAGTGGCTCCTGAAGACCATGGTCAGAGTAACTCAGCACCTGAGAGGGACCTCCCTATTGGAAATGCTCTCATTGTCAGTTTGTTCAGAGGGACACTAGCTTGTTTGTAATGACTCTCTTCCGTTCCAGGCAAGTATGGAAAGGATTTCTCTCTCTCTCCCAAATATATGAGAGAGGCCTGTTATAAAGTCTGGGACTTGAGAAGGTTGGGCATTTGAGAGGGGTGGACCTGAAGTTTCCCTGGGGCACTAGGAATTAGCAGATTAGTTATGGGCCCAGATTTTGTTGAAGCCTGTATCTGTTTTTGAAATCCCCACTGTGGATCATACAGCCTTTACACAACTTTTCCTTAGTTTTTATGAAAAGGTAGAGGAAGGGAGAAAATGCTTGAGGGATGATTGAACCAGTGCTTGGGGTCCCCTGGGACAGTAAGGATGAGGAGATTGACTAGGTGTGCCCTAAGGAAAGCCAAGCATTACTTGGATTTTTCTGAGTAGAGAAATAATAAAAATCACTAGCATTTATTGAGCAGTCACTTTGTGCTACCCTTCTAATGTTTCATGTTAACTCATTTACTTTTCATTAGAACCCTATGAAGTAGGTTGTTGTTGTTTTTTTTCCCCAAAGGAGGAACTACAAGAGTTGAGAAATAAGTAACTTGCCCTAGTCATCCTATCTAATAATAGACAAACATGGTAATTGACCGTACCTTCGCTATGCCTCCCACTGGCTAATCAACACGTTATGCAAATTAACCTCCAACAAAGATGGCGGTTAATTTGCATACTGCAGGCAGGGCAGGACAGCACAGCTGCCAGCACAAGCTGCCATCCCGTGCCACAGGCCGGCCCCAGAAGCCGCCCAGAAACCAGTGATTGGGGGGAGATGGGGGTCCCCTTCCCAGGCCTGACACCTCTCGCCAAGGCGTAAGGCCTGGGCAGGGGGCAGAGCCGGCAATCAGAGGGGTCTGGGGGTCTCCTGCCCAGGCCTGATGCCTGGGCCAGAGGCATCAGGCCTGGGTGGGGGGCAAAGCCGGTGATCGAGGGAAGATGGGAATCCCCTGCCCAGGCCTGACACCTCTGGGGAAGGCATCAGGCCTTGGCAAGGGGCTGATCCAGCGATTGGAGGGTGATGGGGGTCGACGCCTCTGGCCAAGGTGTCAGGCCTGGGTGAGGGGCCAATTTGGCGATCAGAGGAAGATGGGGGTCCCTTGCCCAGGCCTGACGCCTCTGGCGATCAGAGGGTGATGGGGGTCGACGCCTCTGGTCAAGGTGTCAGGCCTGCATGAGGGCGGAGCTGGTGATGGGAGTCCCCTGCCCAGGCCTGAAGCCTGGGCCAGAGGCATCAGGCCTGGGGCAGAGGGGGCGGGGGATGGGGGCCAAGCCGGCAATTGGTGTGAACTACAGAGGAAACACCTTTTCTGACTGCTCACTGGTTAAGCTCCCTGTATGCCACTGGTAATATTCTTAGTAACTTGGGTAATATATGAAAGACACATCTTGAAAATGCCTAAAGAAAGTTGTCATTTTTTCATGATGAAGGGATGGGAGTCTGTGTTGATGAAAACACCTTGCTGGCTGCGGTGACTGGCAGTGGCTGCAGCAGCGGGGTGATGGGGCTGGTGCCTTCCCCTGATCAGCCCAGTCACCTCCCACCAAGGGAGGCCAGACTGCAGCTTAGGCCCTATCCCCAAAGGGAGCAGGCAGCGGGCCTAAGCTGTCACTAGGAAATCCCCTGAGGGCTCCCAGTATGTGAGAGGGGGCTGGCTGGGCTGAGGGACATCCCCCCCCCAGTGCATGAATTTTGTGCACCGGGCCCCTAGTCTATACTAATAAAAGGGTAATATGTTAATTAGGTTGGACGTCTTTCGGACGTCCATCCAGACAAAACCACAGCAGCTGCAAGGCCCAGGGCTCAGGCAGCCATGGGCTCAGGCAGCCTTGAGCCCTGGTGGCTGTGACGCCCAGGGCTCATGGCAGCCATGAGCCTTGCCAGTGAGGCCCAAGGCTCAACGGCAGCCATGGGTTAAGGCAGCTGTGGGCTCAGCAGCTGCGATCCCTGGCAGCTGCGAGGTCTGGGGCTCAGGCAGCCACCGCAGCTGGCAGTGGCAGCAGCAGCGGGGTGATGGGGATGGTGCCTTCCCCTGATCAACCTGGTTGCCTCCCTCAGTGGGAGCGGGCCTAAACCGTCTGTAGGACATCCCCTGAGGGCTCCTGGACTGTGAGAGGGGGCAAGCCAGGCTGAGGGAACCCTGGCCTCTAGTCTATATAATAAAGCTTAAGCGACCATTATGGCGAAATGACCGGAATGACTGGTCACTATGATGTGCACTGACCACCAGGAGGCAGACTCTCAAAGCAGGAGCTGCCCCCTGGTGGTCAGTATGCTCCCACAGGGGGAGTGCTGCTCAGCCAGAAGCTGGGCTCACGCCTGGTGAGGGCAGCGGGAGCCTCTCCCGCCTCCAAAGCAGTGCTAAGGAACAGTGAGCAGGCGGGCGGTAAGGAGCAAGGGGTCCGGACTGCAAGAGGGATGTCTGACTGCCAACAGGCGGACATACCCTGAGGGGTCCCGGACTGTGAGAGGGCACAGGCCGGCCTGAGACCTCCCCCTGATCACAGGCCAGGATTAGGGACCCTACCTATGCATGAATTTCATGCACCGGGCCTCTAGTATAACTAGAAAAGGAGTCAGGAATCATACCCAGTCAGTCTGATTCTAAAATTGTGTCTCAGAATGTCATGTGATGTAGCAGAAAGAGGCCCAGGCTTCCAATCAGAAGGCCTGGTGGTCATCAGTCTACTGACCCTGAAAAAAGACAGGTTTGTGACCCAGAATTGTGGGAATTACGTAGTCAGTTTTGGGCAACCACCACCACCTATCTCTACTTTCATGTTGACTTGGTGGGGCCACCTCCTGACATATTTAATCTTAAATCTGGGAGTGATTGAATACCAGCCCTACTAGTTTTATCCCCCATTTCCTCTCCAGTGTAAGACCTATTTGGGAAAGGGGTGAAAGAGAAAAATAGAAGAGGAGAAAGGAGAATGGGGGTGGGCGATTTAATGTGCCAGTCAGCGGGGGTAAATTTTCCACTTGGATCTGGGTGGAAACCTGATCTTGCCTCTATTTTTGGTCTCCTTCTCTAACAACCTTTCGCCAGATTGGAATTTTTCTGCACCTGTAACACATTTTTAATGTAATAAGTCTAGGAGAAACCAGGTATTATATCACACTGGGGCCTGTGCTGTTTCTAGGAGGGAAGGTAGCCCAGACCCCAGTTTATCCCTATAGGGGATTAGTGTATTAGTCACCCTGTAAAAGCTCAATTTATTATGATTTTTAAAATGTTTCTTTTAGCACTTGCTTATAAAAGGTGAAGAGGGGAGCCACGAATGTGTCTGTGTTCCCTGCCTCCACCTTTTCACACACACCTACCCTCTATCAATTTCATATGAACTCAGATTCCATAAAATCAAATCCAGAGGCTTTGACCAATTTGCTTACCTTTGCTTCTTTGGACTTTGTCCTTGTTTGTGCTGGTGCAACTAATGGAAAGGTGACCTTACTGTCGTAGCCACCCCTCAGTGGGGAATGGAAATAAGTGGTCTTAGCTGTTTAGGGTGATCATAGGGCGCTAGTGGGCAGGGCTTGGATTTGGCTTGTTAGTGTGGGATTGAGCCCTTTATTTCTCCATTACTACAGATTGGCTTTCTTGTGAATATACTTGTATGTCATGGGTTGCATAGGGCTCAAGGTGGATGTTTCTGCCAGCTTTGCCACCTAACTGGACAGTTCTATAGAACTCGTCCCCATCACTAAATTTAAATAAAGAAAGCAAGAAAAAGACAGCTTGAAACCCAAATTCACATAAGAACATGTGAGGCAGTTTGGTGGCATGCATGGAGCATGATGTGGGAACGTATCCTGGTTCTGCCATCCTCGTTAAGAGTCTGATCTAAGCTGCTTGAATTTGAATTTTGGTGGTATTCAGTTCTCAGGCAAGTCTCTCATCTTTCATTTTATCTCCCATTCCCCACTCACTGAAATCCTACCTCCTGCCCTGGAATATGATATAATGTAGCCGAGAGAAGCCTGCTTACAATCAGAAGATCTAAGTTCAAGTATTGGCTCTGTCCTTTTCTAGCTGTGTGCTCAGTGGCAAATCCAAATTTGGTGGTGCTTGAACCTAATGCAATCTTGGGTTCTTTCCTTAAGGTAGAGAATACACAATTATGAATGTGAAATTGTTAGGATTTCTGCCAGGGCCTTGAAGGGGCGTGTGCAGGTGAAGAGCTGAATGATGCAAAATCTTCATTAGCTTCACTAAATCTGCCTCTGTCACATCATATCATCGAGCCTCAGTTATTTCATGCCTAAAATGGATTTAAACATGGCTGACTGTCTGTCTTGAGGGAGTAGTTTAGGAACAAGCAAGAGTAAATATTATGAGTGTTTTTGTCCCAAGTGATACATACATGCGCACACACACACAAATACATATATAGTTTAGAAATGTATTATTATTGCAGTACATTCAGTTATTCGTTTAATGTTTTGATTATACTATCTGTAGATCCCTGCTCAGATATTTGTCTCATTGTTTCTTATTGGTTCATTGGGTCAGGGGCATTCTCAAGGTGCCAGTACTTGAATTCCGGATTGGGAAAGTGTTAAATAAAATAAAAACAAGCTTCTGAATCTTTCCAATGTGTGGAATATAAACCATGACATGTCTCTGGACCTCTCCACTTCATCATTGCATATGTAAATGGATTTTGGTGTATTTCATTAGAGCCTCAATAAGTGTGTTTGGAACTTTAAATATATTAGGAAATTGAAAAGACTACATACCTGGATGGTTATCAGTAAAATGTCTAAAGCTGTTGGCTCCTCAGGTGTTGACAGAGACTTCCTCTGGCTTTGCAGCTTTGAGATCTGCATCCATTTGCCATTAAAAAATGAATAGAGCATCTCCACCTCTCTGATGGTGACTATCAGGATGTTTCCATGCCGGTCTTTAATGGGCTCATAGTAAACTCTTCCCAAATTGTGTGTTCCAAGTAAATTCTAGAAGCAAATAAATTTCTGGTAGCTTATGTGATGTACAAACAAAGCAACATAACTGCAACAAAAGACACTAAATAATTATCTGATGTTTCTGAGAAGCTGTGTGTTGTTGTTTTTTTAGCAGACTTAATCCTAGAAAATGTGGCATCATAGAAATGTACTTAACAGAAGCTCAAAGAAAATGTCTTCACCCATAAGCCTGCAAAGATTATAGCAAGAGACACAAAAATTATGTTTTTTAAGCAAATTGAATATCTGTAAATATCTCTTACCCACATAGACACACCAGCACATAAACCTCAGTCACTGGCACTTGAAGAGAAACCCAGATGTTTTAAAGAAAAATGCCTGATATTTCAAGTATGCTGCTTGTGGAGTTTTCAAGCGATCTACAGTATACTGGTGAGAAGTGGGGTTGTTTAAAATGAAGAAGTGAATTGACAATGTAGCACATTGTACAGGTCCCAAATGACTACACATTCCCTTGAAGATACTTTAATTGGGAGATTGGCCTGGTTTAACTTACCTGCATTTCAGGGAGTTCTATTTATTTAAAACTTTGTTAAAATTGTTCATGAGCTAGGTCAACGGTGGTAGACAATGCTTTCAGAAAGGTAGGAAGGGAAGGATGCTGCATTAACCGTGGAAGGGCCCAGGTAGATATTATTAAAATAAACTGTCACAAATATGAGGGTTTGAAGAGCACTGAGAGGAATAGAATAAAATATCCTTTTACTTTGAATATCTATGGTTTTTTAAAATTATAAACCATCTTAGAACTCCTAGTTGTTATTTTTGTGAGCTTACATAAACACTGATGAGATAACCTGTTAGCCAGAGAGCAGAAGTAGAACTGGAATTTGTAAAAGTAACAAGGATGACCTAAAAATAAAAATGAATGAGCCAACTGCTCAGTATCCACATCTACCAAAATATTGGGATATTCCCTAATAGGTAGGGATTGTGTCTTAATTTTTTTTTTAATTCACAAGGACAGGACACATAAGGAAGAAATTTCACAAATAATTATTGACATTTGAAAATTGAGTTGACAGGATTACTATTTTTTAACAATGGCCTAATCACTTAGATTATTCTTATTCAATAATTGACTTCCAGATCACATAGAAGTAACTGGGTAAGGCAGTGGTTCTCAACCTGTGGGTTGCGACCCCTTTGGCGGTCGAACGACCCTTTTACAGGGGTCGCCTAAGACCATCCTGCATATCAGATATTTATATTACGATTCATAACAGTAGCAACATTACAGTTATGAGGTAGCAACGAAAATAATTTTATGCTTGGGTCACAACATGAGGAACTGTATTTAAAGGGCCAGAAGGTTGAGAACCACTGGGGTAAGGCCTTTTAAGCCTGTCCTATGTAGTAGTTTGCTGCAAAGTAATACTGGCCAACAGGAGTGGTATGCTGGTAAACTGTCTATATAAAAAATAACTGATTTATAGGATATGCCAATTTCTGTGGTGTAAATACTCCCACCATAAGCTGATTTCAAGCTTCTAGGGTTTGATAACAGGCTTTCAAAATTCCTGAATATTTAACAGTTGGCTTTCCTAAGCCAGTGCAGGTTGGCTCCAGCACACCACTGCTATTAAGCCTTTAGTTATACTGGTGTTTAATTTCAGGGCTGGCTGCTGTTCATTAACTCTTAGACTTCTGAAAAATTGTTACTCTCTTAAGCCCTGATTTTCATCATCTAATATTATGGATCCTTACAGCTCAAATATCCCTTATCCTAATCCTTACTTTATAGAGTTTTGGGGGGATTACATGAGAAAATATTTTGTATATTCTCAAGTTTGTAAATGTTCTTTACTGCTCTAATTGGAATCCTACCCTGGCTTACATTTAATCATTTTCAAGGCTCAGTCCATGTTTCACCATCTCTGAAAGGACTTTCCCAATTCTCTCAAGTAGAATTTACCATCTCCTCTTTTGTCCCCTATTGATTCCTGTACAAACTTATGTCTTAGCTTGACTGTGGTCTCCTTGCATATTGATATACTAGTGGCCTGGTGCACGAAACTCATGCACATTAAAAGGGAATTAGAGGAAATATTTTAATATTGCTATTTGCCCTTTCTTTATAATAGAAGTGTCAGAGATGAAACAAAATTAGTAAAATGTATATGAAAATCTCCCTCCTGTCAGAGGCTGGGGCATGCTGCGGGACCCAGAGTCAAGTCCCTGCCCACCGGCATGTGCCTTGACATCATGTGAGACCCAGACCTGGCCGGCCCCACCCCCATCAAGCTATTTAATAACAGCCTCAGGTCCCCCAGCCCGGTGCTGGGCAGGGGGGACAGCCTCAGGTCCCCCGTCAAACCCCACCAGGCAGGGGCACAGCCTCAGTTCTCCTGTCAAGCCATGCTGGGCAGGGGGGGCACAGCCTCAGGTCCCCTATCAAGCCCTGCTGGGCGGGGGGTGCAGCCTTAGGTCACCTGGTGCATCTTTAGGTCCTCCAGCCCAGCGCCGGGGCGAGGAGCACGGCCTCAGGTCTCCCTGCCCCGGCGCTGGGGTGGGGGGCACGGCCTCGGGCCCCCCGTCAAGCTGTGCCAGGTGGGGGGCACAGCCTCAGGTCCCCCAGTCTGGCCTCAGGACCCCGGGCCCAGGTCCCCCGGCACAAGGACCATTTGCATATTAGCTCTTTATTGTATAGGATATGTCATGAGATCTTGGTTGTTTTGTCTCTGTGTCTCGGGGTTCCTGGCACATAGTAAGAGCTCAATAACTTTATGTTGACTGAATTAACATATTATTGTTAATTTACTTTAAACCAAAGCTGCTGTGTAGACATTGAATGAGATGGTCATTTTTTTTTAATTCTTTTTTTTAAATATATTTTATTGATTTTTTTACAGAGAGGAAGGGAGAGAGATAGAAAGCTAGAAACATCGATGAGAGAGAAACATCGATTAGCTGCCTCCTGCACATCTCCCACTGGGGATGTGCCCGCAACCCAGGTACATGCCCTTGACCGGAATCGAACCTGGGACCTTTCAGTCCACAGGCTGACGCTCTATCAACTGAGCCAAACCGGTTTCGGCGAGATGGTCATTTTTAAAGCAGTTATCAGTGGTTCACTATTGGCTTTGGATGTGATGACTAATGGGGTAAATAAGAAAGCACTTTAAAAGTCTTCTTGAAATTCTTTATTGATATCAGATTGGGTTAGATAGCCAGCTCTGTGGAGCAACCAACTTAAAAGCAGAATATCCTTGTGAAAATAAACTGCAGCTATGTTCCAAGGGGGCAAATTTGAGGTTCTTTAGGACTAAAGGATAAACAGACCACTTTAGTACCTGTTATGCAATAAACATTAGGAGATTTGGGAATCCTGATGATCCTAAAAGATAAAGAGGAATAAAAGTCACTTGATGGCTCATAGGAATGCATCTTGGTTATAACCAGAATAAATCACAAGCCTATCAATAGCCCTACAGATGCACAATATTTAGAGACCTTTAGTCAGACCTTCAACGGGAAGTTGAAGGAAGTCCAGAGTGGCGATATGAAGGCCTAAAAAAAAAAAAAGTAAAATTTTGGGCAAACTTTCCTCCAGCTTGAAAAATGAAAAAGACATATTTTGAATAAATTGTTACCTGACTTTTACTCACTAACACTCATTTCTAAAAGCGGTGAAGGAGAACAGTTTAATGTAATCCAATCTACAGTGTCAGATTATTACTATATTTTGAGGATAAGTAGTCTGGACACTTCTTAATGTAAGAGCAATGTACACTTCTGCCTCTTGGGGCCTCTGTCATTTTCCTAAGAGTAGGAAAAACAATGTGGGGTCATAGCCACTTACAAGCTTTCTCTTTTATTTTTTAAGTCCAAATACTGGAAGATACTTGTCTCTCCTCTTGCCTAGGTAATATTAATCAAATTAAAGTCACTTCTAAATAGGTTCCAAATGATGCAGAATAGAATTTTACTTTTTAAAGAAAAATTATAATGTGGATTAATATCTTCTATTTGAAATTTTTGTCTGCTTTTGTAAATGAACACATAATAAGATGATGAAGTATTAGAAAGAATGTAGACTTTGGAGTTACGTAGATTTGTATTTGTATCCAGACTCTGCTACTTCCTATTTGTGTGATGTTAGGCAAGTTATTTAACCTTCCCAGCCCACAGTTTTATCATCTGTTAAACTAATATCAATAATAGTACTTTCTCATCAGAGTGTGATGAAGATTAAATGAGATATGGTTTATAAAACTCTTAGCACAGTGCCTGTCATCTGTTCTATTAAATAAACAAAAGCTGTTGTTTCATGATTATTATTTATTACTAGAGGCCCAGTGGACGAAGTCGTGCATGGATGGGGTCTCTCGGCCTGGCCGGCGATTGGGGCCTATCAAGGCAGAGGGAGATTGGCCAGGGGGAAGGGCCATGGGAGGTTGGCCAGCTGGCCAGGGGGAGGGGCCGAGGGAGGTTGGCTGGCCACCTTGATCAGGGCTGATAGGGCTGGCCAGTTCGGAGGAGGGACTGCGAGAGGTTGGCCAGCCATGGGAGGTTGGCCGGCCGCAGGAGGTTGGCTGTGGGAGCGCACTGACCACCAGGGGTCAGCTCCTGCATTGAGTGTCTGCCCTTGGTGGTCAGTGCATGTCATAGTGAATGGTCATTCAGTCGTTTGGTCATTCAGTTGTTAGGTCGTTTGGTAGCTTAGGCTTTTATTTATGTGTGTGTGTGTGTGTGTGTGTGTGTGTGTGTGTGTATAAAATGTAGTAAAGGATCTCACTATAGAGCAGAAACTGGAAAACAAGGCAAGAGGCAAGAATGCATAGTGGTTGGTAGGCACTGTGATGAAGACAAGTCAGGGTGTATGGAAACAGAGGATGGGAAGAAAGATGGTGATGAAGACCTTTGTGTGTCTTGATAAAATGGGCCATTCTTTTTCTTTTAAATTTTGTTTTATTGCTTAAAGCAGGGGTCCTCAAACTTTTTAAACAGGGGGTCAGTTCACTGTCCCTCAGACCATTGGAGGGCTGGACTATAGTTTAAAAAAAAACTATGAACAAATTATGCACACTGCACATACCTTATTTTGAAGTAAAAAAACAAAACGGGAATACAATATTTGTATTTGCATGTGCTGCGGGCCGCGTAGTTTGAGGACCCCTGATGTAGACCTTAAAGAGACTTTACCTAACAGGTTGGTTTTTCTGATTGTGGGTTTGTTTAGCCTAGAGCAGGAGGAAGGAATTTGAAAGAACTACCTTCTTATAAAATAATTAGAGGCCCAGTGCATGAAATTCATGCACAGGTGGGATCCCTAGGCCTGGCCAGCGATCAAGGCCTATGGGGCTGTCTTGCCCAGTCTTGATCTAGGCCGGGCTGGATGGGGGGAGGGACTGAGGGAGGTTGGCTAGCCATGGGAGGTTGGCTGTGGATGTGCACTGACCACCAGGTGGCAGCTCCTGAG